TGGGAGTTGCCCCTGGGACGTTAGACGGCTGTCAGTGACATTATTCCCTACGGCCAAAGGCCTAGGCTACATACCCCAAAATACTTACCTGTTAGGGCCAGACTCCTGGGCTCGGGGTAGAGCTCAAGGCTTGGAATCAGCAATAGATTCCTTTAAAGGGGTCCTATTATGCTCTTTTACAAAGTCTTGATTTTGTTTTGGAGGTGTACTAGAACATGCTCTAAAACTAAAACGCATTATTTTTCACATCATTTACATTATTACAATACCTTTCTCTCCAGGCTGGCACAAACGGCTCGATTAGTTCCGGCTTTGATGAAGGTCCGCCTTCCGAAAAACAAAATGTGTTGTGATTGGTTAGCTGTCCCAGTGTGTTGTGATTGGCGAACAGCTTAGACAGTGTTTCAGTACTGCCACGCCCCTTGCTCCGTCTTTCAACAAAAGCTTTTGGCAAATTCGGCACTTCTCACTCGTGTTGTGGAAGCTGTCCTCAGTAAAATGTGCAGCACACAATAGAAAATTGGGGTTATAATGCTCAGGAACAGAGTTAAAAAATAAATTGCAACCACTGTTTCCTGACATCATCCGCTTTCTGAAGCCCAAACAAAGACGTTTGGGCACGGAGGTGAAAAAAACAGCGTTTCAGGCGGTCACGCACTGGACGAGAAGCACACACATCTTTAAAATTCAAATACATTATTTTCTATGAGTGTAGGCACTCATAGAAAATACCTTAAGCTTACCATGCGTCCCTCTGTTTACAAGCTGTTCTGCTCGTCACAAATGTTCTTTGTTCTTTTATGGATACATTTACCGTGTCCCCTTTAAGCGAATAATATTTGAGAAAAGCCGTGATTCTCAGTTGGAATTAAGTCTGGAGTAACATCTGTAAGGTTTAGAGTTTAGAGAGTATTTTGTGAGTTATTCACACTTCACTTGGTATGGGCGCGACTCAGCAATGAAGAACACAGCGGAGACCCTTTGAAACAGAAGAATAGAAACGGTCTCTACTGATAATCTTTATTACATTCGGACACAGCTCTATAACAACATGCAGAACACGTTATTGCTCTCTCTTTTATTATTATTTATGGAAGGTCAGTTATATATGAATCTTTCAGTTTTCACAGCTGTTTGACAAATGCGGGAACCGACGTTGAAGTAACAACGCGTCTAATAACCATACAACATTTATAGATAATATGGCAAACGTTTTAATAAGTGCTTCATGTGAAATCGCATCTGGAAAAAATGCTGGAAAATTAGGGGAAATATTTACGTTCACGCGCACATCCTCATCTCGTATCCACCGCGGCGAGAGAAACGTAGCCTAAAGCTTATTAATGCAAAAAGACGGTGAGGAGGTAATCAATTCAGTACATTGATGATGCATATACAGGCAAGTACATGAAAATCATCGTTTATGATTGGGTTTCACATTTTTCCCTTACATAATCAGTACAGTAATGCAATGCCATATCTGTCTCACACAATGTTTTCAGTTGAATCCGCTTACTAATGTGGTATTAGTGAGTTTAATCTATATCTGTAACTGTTCCTTTGTATTCTGCAGGTGTGTCTGGTGCAGATGAAACAGGGTCAGTGTCAGTGATGGAAGGAGATTCCGTCACTCTACACACTGATGTTAGTGAAATAAAGAACGATGATACGTTACTGTGGGTGTTTGGACCTAAAGGATTTGTCATTTCTCAAATAACGAGAAAGAATGATTTGACCTCATTTTTTGTCACCGATGATGTGGGATTCAGAGGCAGATTGCAAGTGGATCAGAAAACTGGCTCTCTCACTATTAGAAATATAAGGATCACACTCTCTGGACAATATAAACTAACAATCTCTAGAGAAAAGACTACGACCAAAATATTTAGTGTTACTGTCTTTGGTGGGTATCTCAAGTCTTGTTTAGATGACTGTTAGATCATTGTAAATCTAATGAATTACATTACAGACAAAGTCTGTGGTGGAAATATCTTGATTTAAGTTTAAATGTCCCACTTCCAACCTCAGTGCATTCCATTCAATCACAAATATGATCTGATTCTTTTCCAGGTATTGTTAATGAGACGGATGGAATGAAATCAGTCTCCGTGATGGAAGGAGATTCTGTCACGCTACACACTGATGCTGAAATACACACAGATGATCTGATAGTGTGGAGGTTTGGAGATAAAGGCATCCTCCTGGCTAAACTCGATGTAGAGACTAACGAGACCTCATTAAATGATGCTGATGAGAGATTCAAAGATCGACTGCAGCTGAATCAGACCGGATCTCTGACCATCACAAACACCAGAACTGAACACGCTGGACTTTATGAAGTACAGATCAGAGGCCATGAGAGCTCACAGCGATTCCTTCTTTTTGTCACGGGTGAGGCTTTATAGTTAGTCTTTCAATGTAATGACATAATTAAATAAGATACTTGTATTAAAATTAAACCCTTGAACATAACATTTGCATTTTGTTCTTGTCATATTGATGAAGTTAATTTCATTAGTGTTCTGATTCTGAGTGAATCGATAAATTTGCATTACAAATCATCCCACATTCTTTGTACAGTTCATATGTAAATCATCAATATCTGCAATTTCTGTGAACATGCCAAACCAAAATAACCACTGTGTGCTGCTGTGACAGGTGACAATAAGTCAGCGAAGGAAGGAGAATCTGTCACTCTACCCACTGGTCTTACTGAAATACATAAAGACGATAAGATACAATGGTGGTACGAAGATGAAAACAATCTCATCGCTGAAATCCATGGAGTGACCAATAAGAGAACGTGTCCTGGTGCTGATGGGAGATTCAGGAGCAAACTGAGCCTAGATGATTATGGAGATCTCACCATCAATAACGTCAGAACCATTCACACTGGACTCTATAAACTAAAGATCAGCGGCAGAAGAAGAACCAAATACAAGCAATTCATTCTGACCATTGGTGGTGGGTAACTCAAGTCTTTCGATGTGTTAAGGATCATGGTTTAGATCAGGGGTGTCCAAACCTGTTCCTGGTGGACCAATCTCCTGCTTAGGTTGAATTTAGCTTCAACCTTATTTAAACACACCTGAATCAGCTAATCAAGGTCTTCAGGATTACTACAAAGATGGTTGCAACTGGTTGGAGCTAAACTCTGGAGGACGTAGACCTCTAAGGCCGCTTTTACACTGCAGGTCTTGATGACCAATTCCGGTTTTGTGACTATATCCGAATTTATGGACAACGTGCTTACATTTCTTTTAAAAGTGACCTGTATCCGATGTGTGCATTTTACACTGCACTTGATGAAACAAACCAAAAATAGCATATATGACATCACAAATCAATTTAAATAGTACATTGAGTTTAATTTATTGACATGGAATTCATATAGAAACATTTTTAATGCAATGGTTACATTCTTCAGGACAGTGATTATGTAGGCAACGCATCCGATTCATATCTGATTTATTTCCACATATGAATGAGGCCTGAAACCGATCTGAGAATATCGGAATCCCTGTGATTTTTTTCCTGCTTACACGGTCATGGGCCATATCTGATCTGTGCCACATGGGAGGAAAAAATTGGGTCACTTGAAGCATGCAGTGTAAATGCGGCCTAAAACTAAAACCAACAGGGAAGAACTGCAGAATATAATGTCATACAGATATTTTTAACATTATTACATGTTTTTTGTCCATCAATGGTGGCAATCAGTAGGCTCATTTCTAATGAAGAGACCAATTTATATGACAGATTTTAATGTAGGCTTTTAAACATATGTAAACATTATTTTATTACCATTATAACTAGCTATCTCGCACATTTTTTGCTCACTCAGTGTTTTCTTAATTTTACAGTGGGGTAATTTTGGTGCAGTAGCACGAGATAGCTTGATTTCAAACTTTGAATTGAATAAAAAATGACAAGTAAGCAGTCAGTAATAAATTAAGAATAAAGAAATTAATAATGATAGCACAAATAAAAAATAATGACAGGCCTTCGAATTAAATAAATTGCTTTTTAGTTTTTCAGGTAGGTCTTACAGAAGGGTTAAGATATTTAACTTTTTTGTTTGACCAATTATCCAAATAATATTTAGTCCTAGAAAGCCATTATTATCAGAACACGTGAGCTTAACATAACGGTTAGCAGATCAATGAATGAGAGGGCAGTGTTACCAGAGTTGCTCATATACCACACCATGATACAACACAGTAGGGCTATTGCAAACAGAAACAATACTGTACTACATCGATGTTTCCTGTCGGCTCAGTTTTTGAGTGGACTTTGCTGTTCCGATGAGCATGAACGGTATATGAGTGGAGCGACTGAGCGGAGCGCACACGCATAGAGCGGGATAATACGCGGAGCGTCACACCTCATGAAAGTGAAACCTGAGCGGTGAACTAATTTTCGGCAGCCGAAATTTCAGTGCATCTCTTAATTATTGGCGACATCAGAAATGTATATTATATAATAGATGCTTTTTTTTGAACATATTAGCAGTTTAAAAATATTAAAAAAGGATTTTTTACACGGCACCCCTGCTCTTGACAGACGGCACCCCGGTTGGGAAACACTGCTGTAGAGTATTGTTTCTCCTCAATGCCTCGCCTTTTTGAAACGCGTCGATTTTTACAAAGCTCATCGGTCTGAAAAGCGAGGTGTGCTCTGATTGGCCAGCTATCCAGTGCGTTGTGATTGGCCAAATACCTCAAGCGTGTGACGAAAATGTTACGCCCCTCGATCACCATACTGTGATGTCGTGTCCTGGAGCGACGAGACAAAAAGCATGAAAACCCATAAACGAGGCATTTTTGGCATCCAGTGGGGACATAATTACAGATTATAATGACTTATACTGTCTTTTTGTATTGCGTAGCATCGCGCTGCGTAAACATAAAACCATGTCTGCATTTGTGATCGGAGAAATGACAAACAAGTGCTACTCTACACTGCTCAAAACTCGCGTTTGAATCATCAGTGGCAAATCCTTTAAATGTAAACGTACTTACAGACTGTGAGTCAGAACACCTGGCATTGTAGTCTACTCTTCCAGGAAACAGTCCTCCATAAATGTGCTGCACACAAATAATTAGAATTTTTTTTGGGTTGAACTGTTCTGGAACAGTGTTGTAAATACTGTTTAAACACTGTTTACAACACTTCCCCAATAAATAGGGGCAGTCGTGGCCTAATGGTTAGAGAGTCGGACTCGTAATCAAAGGTTGCGGGTTCGAGTCTCGTACCGGCAGGGATTGTAGGTGAGGGGAGTGAACGTACAGCGCTCTCTCCCACCTTCAATGCCACGACAATACTCTCGTACCGGCAGGGACTGTAGGTGGGGGGAGTGAATGCACAGTGCTCTCTCCCACCTTCAATACCACGACTGAGGTGCCCTTGAGCAAGGCTCCCTGGGCTCTGCAGCATAAATGGCTGTCCACTGCTGTGTGTGTGTGTGTGTGTGTGTGTGTGTGTGTGCGCACACTTTGGATGGGTAAACACATTGTTCACACCACCATGGACTCTTTGCATGAACATTTGGGCGGTGTTATGCAAATCTTCCCACATAGTGACGTAGATACACTCTTAAAAATAAAAGTGCTTCAAAAGGTTCTTCAAGCAATGCCATAGAAGAACCATTTTTGGTTCCACAAAGAACCATTCAGTCAAAGGTTCTTTAAAGAACCATCTCTTTCTTACCTTTTTGTAATCTGAAGAACCTTATTTCGCCACAAAGAACCTTTTGTGAAACAGAAAGGTTCTTCAGATGTTAAAGGTTCTTTATGGAACCATTTAGACAAAAAGGTTCTTCTATGGCATCGTGAAGCACCTTTATTTTTAAGAGTGTATGTGGGGGCGTGTTAGAACGAGCCGCTTTAGGTAGGAGTAGCTGACTCTTAACATTATAAAGAATATCTCTTTGGATTTGAGACTTTAGTCTTTGCAACTTTACAGATCTTCTTTATGCACCAAGAGCTTGTAACACTCCAAAGAGAAAGGAAAAATTGAAATAGCATCATATGACCCCTTTAATTACTTTTAATTTTAATTACCGCCATGTTAAACAAAAAAGAAAGTTTTCAAAAACAATGTTCTTACCTTATATGAAAAACAAAAATGAAGTCAGTAATTTAACAGATTAAAGGTGTAATATTTTATGAATCATGTAGGGAAAAAAAGGCATGAACACGAATCATGAATAATTTTACTTTATGATTTGTGAATTTAGATAATAGCGTATAGAGATGAGATTAGTTCATGGCTAACTAAGTGTCTTTGGGTCTCATTATGTTAGCTGTCAGTAAGCTATCTGAACAATACAAAATGGAAAGGAAGCTCCTATCTTTGACCATGCCAAAGTAGGTTAGAAATGTCACCTAAACATATGTAATGTTAAAACTGCAAACTAATTTCAAATACTTTATTTTCTTCTGTATTTCTCTGTTTCTGTTTGCTGTTTTGACATGAAGTGAGAACGGAAAAAGTGAAGGAGGGAGAATCTGTCCCTCTACACAATGATGCTGAAATACAGGCCGATGATCTAATACTGTGGACGTTTGGAGCTGAAAACAGTCTCGTTGCTAGAAAGGATTCAAGACCAACTGATATTGATGAGAGTTTGAGTGACAGACTGCAGCTAAATGATGAGACTGGATCTCTGACCATCAGGAACATCAGAACCACAGACTCCGGACATTTTAAACTACAGATCATCAACAGCCAAAAGACCACATTCAGGAGATTCAATGTGGATGTCACCGGTGAGTCAAACATCATTTATTATAATAACAGTATATTTGTTTATGCAACCGTTCTAGTCCTTGAATCTGATTGGTTGATCAGCGTTCATTGCTTCATTGCTGTACAGTAATTTACATTTACATTCAGTCATTTAGCAGACGCTTTTATCCAAAGCGACTTACAAATGAGGAAAATAGAAGCAATCAAAACCAACAAAAGAGCAATGAGATGCAGTTATAAAATAAAGCAATAAGCCCCAAGAAGCCGTGGTTTACAGTGAATTTATAACAGCTAAGGGGCGTAGTTAGGTACGACGGGAAGCAGAGTTATTAATGGTTATTCCATATACGTAGTAAGTTTTCACAAAATAAAACAGAGCAAATAAAGTGTAATGATATTAATAAAAACAGTATTCTTCCACAAAACAAACAATGCAGTTCCTCAGAAACAGTTGTGCTTGCAATAAAGTGGTATATATATATATGGTATACAATCCTATATGTAGATGTATATGTAGCAACACTGTTTCTCTGTCTGTTTTAATTTCTGTAATCGTCTCTATATTTTGTTTCCACAGAAAAACAAGAGAAGAGGGAAAAGGAGCAGCAGGAGACGAGTTCAGTTTGATGAGATGAGAGACG